AATTAACAATAAATTAACAGTAAAATAATAGTAAATTAATAATAAATTAACAATAAATTAACAGTAAATTAATAGTAAATTAACAGTAAAATGTATAAAAATATAAAATATTTGATCCTGAGATCAGCCGGTAAAAATAAGGATGAAACAATAAACTCAACTCACGACTGGATCAAATTTATGAATTTTGAAGATAAATTATAATTAATTTCAATAAACTGTAAAGTACCGTACTGATGTTTGTCCACACGAGTACCCTTACTTCTTATCGAGGACCGCCACCGAACCCACCACTGAGGTCTCTGAGGTCTGGGCCTCTGGGGTAACAATAATAACAGTCAATAATCAAATTAATGAAATAATTATTAATTAATAACTATGAACTATTTGATGCTTTGATGCTCAGTTTTGGACCTCAGTGTTTCTGCTGAACTCGATAATGTTATTGATGAAATCTGCACATTTAGAACATAAGAACAATATTAATGTTTAAAGGAACAATCTGTGAAATATTAGCTGCCTTTCTACGTTTAGTTCTGCTAGTTTACTGACTTTAAACTCACGTAGCAAACAGTAGTCCAACAGTAATCCAGCAGTAATGAACAGGAACATGTTCCCCTTAAACAATGAGTGGTTACACCTCAGCCTAAACGCCTGCCTTACCACATCTGTTCACATGTGTGTGAATGTGTATGAATGAGTTAGTTCCTGTTTGATGGGCTTTGCCATCACTGAGTGAATGTGTGTGAAAGGGTGAATGTGTCTGTAATGTAAAAGTGCGTTGAGTGGTTGGAAGACTAGAAAGGAAACTATACGAGTACAGGTCCATTTACCATTTACAATCTCCATATAAACACAACTAGCTTAACGTGTAGAAAATAGCTTAATGCTAAGAAAAACACTAGTCGTGAAGAAAACAGATTATTTTTTATCAAACAGTTAAACGCTAATATAACAGCACTGAAAATGTCCGTAAAAAGGATAAAAAACACCAAAAGAATAAGGGGTTGTGTGATTATTGATTATTGATTGAATCAACTCCATATATACATATAGAGTACATATAGAGCTGTTGGACATACAGAACTTTCTCTGTAGTATTTTTACCTTGAGAACAGGACCTTTATTTTGAAGGTCTCTGCTTGTTTACTGTTGTTAATGTTAAGAGACAGAACAGGAAGAGTAGTAGATCTGGATCAGTGTGTGTTGGAGGAACAGAGGAGGTTCACATGTGGGTGACAGATATCTGAGGAGGAGGAGGAGTTCCACATCTGCAGTCAATCAGTCTGCTGCCACGTCTCAACCAGAACTGTTCCTTTGGAAACTTTACTCTTTTCAATTATTATTTCTTCTTCTATCAAATCCCATCAAGGAGGTCAGTGTTCTCCTCCATTTACATGCTGTCTACATAATACTACAATACCCATCAGCCTCTGCTTCTGTGAATCAGAATTATAGACTGTATTGAAAACCACCTACTACATACTACTGACCAGTGCAGTATGCAGCATGCAGTATAGTGCATACACTAATAGTTTAGTCAAAGTGAATGAATTAGAGGAAGTGACCAGCACTGACTTGGAGGCTGCTGATTGGTTGTGGTTGTTGTGTGTTTCAGACTTGTTGCAGCAGCAGAGTGACGGAGATGTTCGGAGGGACAAGAAACAAACGCTACGCCATCAACCCAGTGGGACATAAGTGGACTCACCACAACATCACGTACAGGTAGCCTTCAGTGTACTGCAGTACAGTGACTATTACTGCACTACAGTGACTATTACTGCAGTACAGTGACTATTACTGCAGTACAGTGACTATTACTTTTATAAACATATTTATTAATAATAGTTAGTTTCATTTTGTATAATTCTTATGGTTATCCTGAAAATGTTTACCAAAACAGGTAAGTTTTTAACAAAACAATAAATAACAATTAAATTAACAGTTAATATAGTAAAAATATAATAATTTAAAAGCAAATTAATAAAAACCAGTAAATTTAATAGTTTAATTTTAAACAGTAAAATTGTAATAAATTTTTATAAAAATATTGATTCCCCTTGAGATTTCAGCCGGTAATAAGGATGAAAACCAAATTAAACCTCAGAAAAACTCACGGAAACTGGGGAATTTTCAAATTATTTTGAAATTTTGAGATAATATATATTCAATAAAACTGGTAAAGTACCCCGTATTGATGTTTGTCCCCAAAACCACCGGGGAAGTTTACCCCTTTTAACTCTTTATTCCCGGAGGGGACGCCCCACCCAAACCCCAACCCAACTTGAGGGTTCTTCTGAGTTTCTTCTGGGCCCCTTTCCTGGTGGGTTAAAAAACAAATAAATAACCAATCATAAAATTCAATTAAGTGGAATTATTATAATTTAAAATAACAGGGGAACCCTATTGATTGCCTTTTGATTTTGCTTTTTCCAGTTTGGGGAAACCCCTCAGTTGTTTTCTTGGCTGAAACCTTCCGATAATGGTATTGGATGAAGAAATTTTTTCTGGCCCCAAACATTTAGAAACATAAGGAAACAAAGTATAATGTTTAAGGAACCATTTTCTTTTGTTTGGGAAAATAATTAGGGCTTGCCTTCTAACGGTTTTTAAGTTGTGTTAAAAACTGAAACTTTAAACTTTCCAACGTTGAAACAGTAAGTGTCCCCAAACCAAGTTAATCCCCAAGCAGTTAGATGAAACAGGAACCCATGTTCTCCCCCTTAAACATGAGTGGGTACCCAAAACCCTCAAAGGGGGGCCAAAACCGCCTGCCCCTTTACAACCCAACATCTTGTTCCACATGTTGTTGGAATGTGTTATGAATGAGTTAAGTTCCCTGTGATGGGCCTTTTTGCCCATCCCCACTGAGGTTGCACCGTTGGGACAAAATGGTTTGTTGGTGAAAAAAGGGGTGGGAAAATGTGTCTTCCTTGTTTAATGTAAAAAGTGCCGTTGAGGTGGTTGGAAGAACTAGGAAGGGAAAAACTAATACGGAGTAACCAGTCCCATTTTTCCTTACCCCCAAATTTCTTTTTTCCCAATTAATAAGACAACAAAAACGCTTAACGTGGGTAAGGAAAAATTAAACTTTATGCTTAGAAAAAAACCAAAAAAACTAGTCGCGACGAAAAAAACAAGATTATTTTTTTATATCACAGTAAAAACAAACCCGTAAATATAAAACAAGCCACTGGGAAAAATGCCCGGTAAAAGGAAAACACCAAAAGATAAGTGGTGGATTATTTGATTATGAATTGAATTCAACTCCATATTATACCATTAAAAAGGGAGTACCATAATAGGAGCGGGTGGAACAATAACCAAGGAACTTTTCCTCCTGTAGTATTTAACCTTCTGAGAAAACAGGACCCTTATTTGAAGGTTCCTCTGCCTTTGTAACTGTTGTTAATGTAAAGAGAACCAGTACAGAAAGAGTAAGTATTGATCTGATCAAGTGTGGTTGGAAAGGAAACAGGGAAGGAAGGGGTTCCACCATGTGTGGGGAAACAACGATATTCTGAGAGGAGGAGATTCCCAACCAATTCTTGCAGTCAAATCAAGTCTTGCTGCCCACGTCTTTCAACCCAGAACTGTCCGTTTGGGAAAACTTTACTCTTTCAAATTTATTATTTCTCCTTCTATCAAATATTCCGATTCCAAGCGAGGTCAGTGGTTTCTCCCTCAACATGCTTGTTAACATAACTTACAAATACGCCATCAGCCTCTGCTTTCTTGTGAAATTCCAGAATTATAAGGAACCTGTTATGAAAACCCTACTAACATACTTACTGGTAACCATGCCACGTATGGCAGCATGCCAGTATAGTGCCATACACTAATAGTTTAGTCAAAAGTGAACATGAATTAGAGGAAGTACCAGCAACCTGGACTTTGGTGGAGGCTGCTGATTGGTGTGTTGTTTTTGTGTGTTTCAAGACTTTGTTGGCAGCAGCAGAAGTGACGGGAGATGTTTTCGGAGGACAAGAGAACAAACCGCTACGCCAATCAAACCCAGGGACATTTAAGTACTCAACCACCAAAAACAATTTTTCACGTACAGGTAGCCTTCAGTGTACTGCCAAAGTACAGGTGACTATTACTGCACTTTACAAGTGATATACTGCAGTACAGTGGAACTATACTGGCAGTACAGTGATATTATGTTTATTAAGGGAGTTCCGTTCTAAAGAACCTGCCTAATTTGAAAAGTTTTCCTGAGAATA